ATCTAGTGAAACAAAAAAAAATAAGAACCGTTAGATTGATTATATATCGGACGGTAAAGGCATTGTAGTTGTCGATCCAACTTAAATGAAAACAACGCACTAGAGAAAACGTTCGTATCAAAATTTCCCAATTTCTCTCCCATCTGAAAAAAGAAAAAAAAGCAAACTTTTTCCCAATCTCTAGGGTTTTCCGATTTGGATCCTTAGTTCAGAGACCCGATTCGTCTTTCCTCTTTGTTGTAGCCAATATGCCTCAAAGACACTCGAAGAACAACAACGATCTTGCGTATTTCACTTACGATGAGAAGAAGAAGTTAGGGTATGGAACCCAGAAAGAGAGATTGGGGAAAGACTCGATTAAGCCTTTCGATGCTTGTTCCCTTTGCTTGAAGCCCTTTATCGATCCCATGTGTTGCCATAAAGGTCATGTCTTTTGCAGAGAATGTATTCTCGAATGTTTTCTTGCACAGAAGAAAGATATCCAAAGGTATATAAATCTCTCACCTTTCGATTTTTAGCTTCTGGGTTTGAAATCAAGTTCCTTTTGTTTATGGTTCTGTGTTTTGTGAATTGGTACTTTTGATAGCTTAAAGAAGAAAATAGTGTTTGTGTAAATATGAAAATACGAACACTTTGGATTTTGATTGAAGTTTTAGTCTTAAGATCTAGTTTAGATCATCTAGATTTGAGCTTACACTCGCTCTTAGGGTCTTTGGATTCCATTATCATTCTGGATTCAACTTACTCTTTTCATGGTTCTTTTGCCTTTGAATCTGGTGTTAATTGGATGATTATTAGAGTGAAATTCTTATGGATTTTTGAGGAGCAACTCTTGTTCAAGGCTTAGAAAGTGACATTAACTATAGCTCAAGTAGCTCTGGTATTGTTACTACTTAGTACTTACTAGTGCCAAAGTGAATTTTTTTGCTAACTGGAGTAGCAAGAAATATACGAAAATCCTATGATTTTGTTGCTCAAATACTGTTGGAAATGCTTGTGGTGTTTTTATTTTGAATTTATTAATAATCACCGGAGTAGAAAGTGTAGGAACGTACCCTCCTTGCTTGTATAGGACCTGTTTGGATTTTTATGATACCGTGTTGAGGGGTACGTTGAAGATTATCATGTCTGATATATCTTTGTTCTGTATGGTATAATCCTGATATGTTGTACTAACATGTGGGTTTGTCTCCAGGAGGCTTGCTGCACATGCTTCTCAAAAGCAGCAAGATAAGGATGAAGAAGAAGAGAAGCTAATGCTACAAAAGGCGAGAGAGCTTGACGAATTTGATCAGCAAAACCATGGTGCATTGCCTCGGTACAGTGACAAGAACCACAACCAAGACAAGAATGGTTTTCATGGGGCGAACAGTGTGAAAACGACTTCTTTTGAAGAAGAAGCGCTTAGGACGATGAAAGCCTTCTGGCTCCCATCAGCTACACCAGGAGCGTCAGTTAGAGTAGAAGCTCCAGAAACTCACACAGTCTGTCCAGAGGGCAAAGAGAAGCTCAAGCTTAAGAACCTCTTTGCTATTCGTTTCACAGAAGACAACAGCGAAGAAGGAGAGTTGAAGCCAACCTCATCGTCTTCAAGCTCTTATGACAGAACCTACATTTGCCCGAGCTGCAAAGTCACTCTCACCAATACAATGTCCCTTGTGGCACTTAGCTCATGTGGCCATGTTTTCTGCAAGAAGTGTGGTGAAAAGTTTATGCCTGTTGACAAAGTCTGCCTTGTGTGTGACAAACCTTGCAAGGACAGGAATTTGGTTGCTTTGAAGAAAGGAGGCACGGGTTTTGCTGAGCATGACGATCATCTTGAGGCTAAGGAGTACAAGCATTTGGGTAGTGGCTCTGGTTTGGGGCTCGTGAGGCCGGTAAAGACATGATGAAACAACATAAAATGTTGAGTTGCAATTAGAGAAAGTATCCTTTTGATGTTGTGTATATCACTTCCTTATCCTTTGCTACTACAACCAACAGACTTGGCAAATTTCTCTATTTTGGCTCTTGCTTTTGTCCTTTTGATCGGATCTTATTTGTGTTTCTTTTCCTATGAAGATCAAATGGAAATTTCGCATTAAAGTTAAAATCGAGCACCGTAAGAAGAATGTTCTATTACAAATGATCTTGCATCTAAAAACTCAATCCCAAGAATCAGTAAAACTCACGTAACTGGAAAGGTAATGATTTGAGGTAGTTTTTCCTCTGATAACTGTCTCAATCTGAATCAGATGTTTGTCTTCCAACTTGGACCATATAATTGCCCATGTCTTTGGGAAATTTACATAAAGTAAGATGAAAATTGTCACTTTTTTAGGTGCACGTGTTCTTCCTTTGCACTCAACACACTTTGCAGTTTTTAGACTCATCATCACTCTACGAAAACTCGGTTTCTCATGCCGAATAGTACTAGTTCCCCACAAACAAAAGCAAGGGGAAGAATCTCCATCAGATATAACAATAGGGCAGTTTCCAGTGCATTTACCACAAAGCTCTACGTAAGCAACATTATTTTGTTTCCAAAGATAACACTATTGTTTCGATAAAACACTCGTCGACACTGCTTCCTTTGCCGGAAGCATTGATAAAATCTTTAGCAATAAATCGTCAGACAACTCGCAGATATTTCTTATAGACTGATGAAACATCAAATAAAATTAGCTACAAATTCAACATGGGATCATCTAAATGGAAAGGAAGAGAAAAAAACGTATAAAACAAATCAAGTTTTGTATTTACAAATACGATCATGGAAATTGTTAAAGGAAAAGCCAAACCTTTTCATGTTTCTTCTGTGTCATGGCCATGTAAAAAAAAAACCCTAAATACACAAAGAGATCCTTTTGTTGATAATCTAAAACTTATTTTGTGTTTGGTTAATTATGTGATTTATATGATGATGAATTACTTCAATCCGTAAGGTAGAAAAACAAGAAGATACGTTGTTATCTTTAAGGTTATTTGGATGTATAACAAAAAAAAAACCTATATCTAATATTAATTTTKAAAAAAAAAAAAAAACTATATCTAGTATCCTAACTAAAACACTTCTATGTGGCTAAATATACCGACTAGATTTAGAAATTTTGGTTAGAATAACGTAAATAATATTTTGAGTAAATAATATAATTTAATTAGTATTTTTAAAAATATTTTAAAAGTATGGCATTTTTTTAAAATGACATAAAAGATGGCATTTTTAGGAAATTCTTCTAAATAAATTAGTCTCATCTTTTACCAATCTTTTATATTTGACGGAAACAAATATTGGGTG